ACCTCTGGAATCAAATTCCGATTCCATCATTCCTATGCCATAATGCCACCAACGAAATTTCAATAATTTAGAGTCCAGACCGAAAACAAAAAGTTCAGAGACTGAACATCAATATGTCTTCCCAATCTTATATCACAAAACTCATAACATAAAATTCCTGAATGAAAGCATCAAATGGCACAGAGGACCAAAAATCGTAGAATTAGACGGTGGAAATATTATCACCGTTCATATCTTGTAGAATGTAAGTGAAGAAAAAACGATGAAAAAAATCCAAGATCATAAATGAGAATGGGTGAAGATGTACCTGAATGAGCAGAAGAACAAATCTGAGAATATTACTACGAAATAAAAGTTTGGAAATTGGAATTGGAATGAAAATTCAGAGTAATAAGAGAGATTGAACAAAGAACAGCTTGCCCTGCGCCTCTTAGCAATTTGAAGACGAAGGGCAACTCAAATAAAAAAAACAAGTTAACTTCCAATGCTAGTTTTTTTTAGTTAATTACTATTTCTTTTTTACTTTTGGAAATAATTAATTGTAATGTTCCCAAAAAAAATATTTATTTTTAAATTAATTTTGTATATTGTTGTTAAGATTTTTTTTTAATTGATATATGGAATAATTATAGGATGAGTAAAAACAGTAGTAGAATTCTAACAGAAAAATTAGAAACTTGCAACTAGGATTTTGAAAGAAAAATTACAAATTTTAGTCTAATTTGGTAAAAGATGTTTATTTTAATTAGAAAGATTCATTCAAATTTAAACACAAATTAAAATAAGATTAATTTAATAAACAATCAAATTTACTTCTTTTTAAAAATAAAATAAAATAACTTAATAGTTAAAAAGAAACAAAGTGAAGATTTAAGATTAAAAAGTTTATTAATAAACTTGCAAGGTAATTTCAATAAAATCCTAACATAAAAAGATTCTAGTATTTTGTTAACAATATCTCACACGAAAGATAACGAATTTATAGTTGCAGGAGTAAGAATATTCATAACTTCCGCTTTCCCCTTTCATTGATTGGTACTAGGATTTGGATTTCTTTAATAGAAATAAAAATAAATATTAGGAAAGTGATAAGTGGTATATTTTTTTAAAATTAATAATAGTGACAAGAATTTCTTGTAGATAAACATTTTAAACTAAAAAAAATAGAATCAAGATGTTTAACATTTTAAAAATTAATAGCTGATTAAATTAACAAAAATCATTATAATCCATAATAAAAGAAATGACAAAATGTAACCATAAGCTGATGCCCAAAATAATTAATTTGAACTTAGCACCTTTTATAATATAATAATATTATTAAAACTATAAAAGTTTGCATTTTGACAATATAAGTATAATATTTGTATAGCAAAATTTATTTAAATATAAATATTTAATTAAAAAAATTGAAATCATGTGATAGAAAACTTATAACATTCTCATTTGAATGTAACTTTCAAATACCTTATTAAAATATTATTATTGTTCATAAAAGGTTACAAGAGTAATGAAAAGATGACATTTTTTAATATTTACTTAATATATAATATAAGAGTAATTTTGTCATAAAAAATAAACTTATATATTTTTCAAAAATAAAGAAAATAAAAAAGTAAAAAAAATGTGTTAAATAATTATAAAAAAAGTATGTCAAAATATCATTTTTCAAAAAGTCACAGATGATAACATTTCTATATTTTATTCACCTACTATTTATTTTTTCAGTTTCTCAAACCCCTACACTTGTCACTTTGTGTTGCTTGTAAAGTCTAATTTGGGCATATGTTTCATGATAAGATTTTTATGTTAGATGAACCTAATATATGTAAATCTCATTTTTTTTTCATACATTTTTATATTTCATGTGTAAATAGCATCTTTTCGTACATACATTGTGCTCCAAATTATTTTCTATTTCAAAGAGATTGTGGGTGATTAGTGCTCAAAGCACACGTAAAATGTTGTGTGATCATCATCCTGTGCAATTGAATCAGGATGATTGAGACAGTTTGCTGGATTCATAAAAGAAGGTTTCATAATATGTGTTTTTAGAAAATTAGTTTGGTTTATTCTAATTAATTTTGATGGTTCTTGGTAACTTTTATAGGGTCAAACTTCAAAGATTTATATTAAGTAATTGTGAAGGACGACAAAATTGAATGGATTTCATTAGAGTGATGTTAAACTTTGAAAAGTTTTTAGTATTTTCATTTTTTTTTTAGGTTTTTTTTATTAAAGGAATGATATCATAATATACTTTTATATTCATTTTGATACGGTAAAAAATAAAATGGTTATATAAAAATAAAATTTTATATTTTTTTAAGAAAAAATAGAATAAAAAATATAAAAAAATAATATCAAATAAATTTATGTGTGTCAAAAAATATTTTTATTATAATAAACTTTATGAGTATGTAATAGAGAGTTTATGAGACTTTGTTGGAAATCTCACCTCGATTAAAGATAAGGTCAATTCATAGTTTATAAGTGGGTGCAATCCTCACCCTATAAGCTGGTTGTGAGGTTGAATTAGACTTAAAGTCTACTTCTAACATATTTCAAAATCCATTTAATATTTATTAATATACAAGTTTGTTTGATCGTGCATATTTTGCAAAAAAATTGAGAATGATCGACCAATCAAACTGAGGTTGTTTCCAAAGGGCTTCTTCTATTATATATCTTTTATAATAGTCTTTCTAGACAATTAACGATTACGATTTTTATGTAAGATTGAACATATACCTGTGAAAGTAAGTCACCTTGTGAGATTTGTCAATTTTAAATAAAAGTTTGAATAATAATAAAGATAAATTATATTGATTAAAACGTTGAGATGAAACTTGGTTTCTTTCCCGCGATTGTACAGTTATTAATTATCTAAGTTTTATTTTTTATTTTAGTGTTCTTGAAAATATTTTTAAATGTAATTTTAACTTTATTCCTGTAATACTAGAATCTAAGAGTTTCAGACACAATATGATTCTTAGCACTATAATGACTCTTTCATTTTCTATGACTTCTCCACTCGTATTTTATAATTAACTTTATAATTAAAGATAAATGAAGTTTGTTTTAATAATAGTTATGTCAAATTTATATAAAATATCTAAAATGATATACAAATTTATTTAAACTAAACAATTATCAAAATTCAAATAATTACACAATAATACTAGTTTTATTTTATAATGACTCTGGTTGTCTTGTGAAGAAAACATGGAAGGCAGTGTCATCCCACCACTAATGGCACGAATCCTGCTCTGAATGCATATGCCTCCATCGCCATGGATTGAGATTCGATTAAAATCAACTGACAACAGTGACAAGAAACTGCAATGGGTCCAAAGTTTACAAAACCAAACCAACTATGTTGTTCTTGCAGGACCAGACAAATTTTAATTACTGCAATGCTACCAAATATATTGTTTTTTCTGCTATCATCTTTCGCAAACATAGTCACCCACGCAAAACCAATTTGATCATTGGCCTTCATATCTGAAAAAAAAAAACTACTACTCTACAGCATGTTTCATTGTGTACAACCAGGGCTGAATCTAGAATCATCTTCCTACATTTAATTACACCTTTAGTCTTAACAGCTAATTTCTAAATGAATAAAGATCAGATCAGATCATCCCACAATTACTTTTAGGTAACTCCATGACAGATGTTTTTATTAGTTCCTGATAAGTAAACTAAAAATATAACTGGAGAAAATGAATTTCAAAATATTTTAGATAAAGTTAACAGATTTTAATCATATAAATTAGAAATTTTGAAGTAAAATTAGATTTATTTATTTTTTGTGAATGGAGAGATCAAATAAGACACACCCATTAAAATAAATTTGAAATTACATTTGAAGTAGAAATTAACTAATGTTTTAAAGTTCACAGGAGAGCAAACACCAACTAAAGAGAATTAAAAGTTAACATATTTTGAGTGTATTAGTTGATACCTCATCATCTAAAAATATTAAAAATACTCAATTTACACATTAAACATTATTATGATTAAAATGAGGTATTTAAATTATATTTTATCTTAATGAATATAACTCAGCCATATAGTTTGAGTAATTAATATAGGTATACAAGTTATTGACTTAATTGTTCAAAAGTGTAGGAGAAAGTACATTAATAAACAACTGAAAGGGACAATTAAAAAGAAATAAAACTGAAAACTAATTTTAGTTTCTACAAAAATTTTAAAAATTAAAAATACTGAAATTTTAATTTCTAAAAACATTAACTTTTTTTGGATGATGTCTCTAGAAGAGTGTGAATTTGTTTTACAAGGCAAATTAACTTGAAAATATATTTTTAGAGTGTTTCCAAAGTTGTATATTTGGTGGTGGATTATTCAGAAAAGAATTAATGTTTATTTTTTAAAAGATAGATAACAAATTTATTTATGGTTATATATAAAAGGTGATAAGTCATAACACTGTCTCAACAATTCTATTAAAGCTTATTGTTCATTGGGGTTAATCATTTGGTGAGAAAAATCTTATGCACCCTTATAATGAATATATTTTTACCTTTCATTTTTTGATATAATTTTTTTGTGTTTCTCAATATTTCTGGGTTGTAGAAAAATTAAAACTTCCCCATCCCTACATTAAAACCACACCAAACAAAAAACTTGCATACATATGTTTTCTCCTGAATATGATTTACAAGGAAAATAAATTAATACATTTAACTATTCATGAAGTATATATATTACTCAATGTTTAAATAAAATTCAACCAAAATTAAAAAAAAAATGGAGAACATATTTGCTTAGTTCAGTGGATTAACTAAATTTTAATTATTTCAATTGAATATATTAAACAAGGGTAATGATTTATCAAACGAAACCTCTCCTCTTCCAAATTCTATATGGGAAAACATGAATTTAGATACAATACTTTCCAAATTATAACAAAATGTTTAATGTTAGACAGTGGAATAGTAAACTAAACACGTTCCGACAATTTCAAATCCTAAACTATAATGAAAGTAAATTATACTAATGTTCCGAATTACTTATTTATCTACCTCATCGATGTTGGAAAGGAAAAATAAGTGTAGAAACACATAATAAAAGCTATATTATGAATAAAAGAGAAATAATATTCATATCATGCAACCAGTACATATATGGCATATATGATCCCAGGGATGTATCCGAGCAGAGTCAGCAACAGATCTATCCAGAATTCAATCTGCATTATCCCAAAAACAAAATTACATAAATCAATTCAATCAAACAACAACAATTAATCAGCATCAAATCCTAAATATAAAACAAAATAATAGAAACATAAATCAATTCAATCAAACAACAACAATCAATCAGCATCAAATCCCAAATATAAAACAAAATTATAGAAACATAAAGAAGCAAGAAACAAGGAGAGGATGAATACACCACAGCCATAACGGAGGAAAACACCAACAGGAGGTAAAAGGATTGCTAATATCACTTCAATAAAAGTTTCAGAACCCATAATCACCACTTTAATTCTCTCTGCTTCTCTCTTACTTGAACTTTGTTGTTATCAGTGAGGAAGAGGAAATACAATCAGATCAGATCCTTACAAGGAAATGTGTGTTGTTGAAGAAAATAAGAACGGTTTCGGTGGCAGAATTGTAGCACACAAAATGACACGTGTGTTATAGAAGTAACAGGTGTTTATATTTCCATTAGCTACTGGAATGAAAAATTATATAAAAGATTAAATATTATAATAGGCATACATTACTATGTGATTGTATGATATCTTATTATAAAAGGAAAATTTATGTGATATATACGTTCTAAAATATATTAAAATAAAATGTAATATATATTTCTATCTTTAATTATTTTGAATGATATTATCAGGGTTTTAAATTATTCATGTTCGTTTTTGAAAGGTAAATTTTTTATAGTTTTGTCTTTAAAAAGAAAATTGAAGAGTAGAAAGAGCATTTATTTAAATTCTTGTAGGTTTATTAGTTACGGTGAAAAAAATATATAAACTGTTTTAAATTTGGACCCTTACGTTACACGTGACGAAAAGTACAGTAAAAGGTATCGAATTTGATTTTATGGTATACCTTTTGTACCATAAAGTAATTGATATGAAAAATAAATTTGATTGATTCAACAATACGTTTATATTATCCAGAAAAAAACAATTAAGTTACTTGTTCAAGTTAGAATATTTACACATATGTACCTCACAGCAAAAAACTTACATTTTTGGAAAATGACACTTGAACAACCATTTTTGACAACATTTAGACACGCGCACACGTGTCAAAATCTGAGTGGTCCATTTTCATTTAATTTTTCCAACTGGACCACTCAGATTTTGACACGTGTGCGCGTGTCTAAATGTTGTCAAAAATAGTTGTTCAAGTATCATTTTCCTACATTCTTTTCATACAAAGTTAACTGTATTTTAAGCTAAGAAAACGATTGGAAAAGAATAAATGATCTGTATTATCATAAATAGAAGTAATTGAGTATCTCAGAGTATAATCTTTCTCTATCTTATCGAAGCCTAACCTCCTTCACAAAGGTCTAAAACCTGTCTATACGAAAGAAAATGATTAGTTGCTTTCTAACCATGAATAGAACTATATATATAAGATCTTTCATCCCGTTTCTCCTAACCACTCTCTTGTTTTTCCGTCTTCTATCCTCTTATTTGATCCTATCATTACACTCTATTGCAAAAAAACATTGTCCTCAAGGTTGGAACAATGAAGTTTGAGCACGTGGCATTTTGATATGATCTTATCACAGGAAGAGAACCCGCTAGCTACTACCTGCAACTTCAAGTCTGGAGGCTTGGGTAGTGATCAAATTGAGAGATAAAAATTAGGGGTCCATTTTCGTGTCTGTATTATTTCCTTGAAGGCGAGGAGCTTCTTATCATTCCCTGTAAAATAACTTCCTCTACTGTTCAACTCTCTTCTCCTTATCTTTATACCGTTTGACTCTCTTCTCCCTTTCATTACGCTGTTCGGATTTCTTCTCCCTATCTTTATGTCGTTCGGCTCCTCCCCCTGCATTCAACCGTTCAGCTCGCGTTAACAACCCTGAACAGAGTTGCTGCCAGAGCTTCCCAGTATAGAGTTACTTCTCCTCTTCGTTCTGCTATCGTTCCTCCTTTAATGGCCAATATCGTTCGGTCCCCTATCAGACCGTGCATCTTTCGTATTGACCTCACACCCTTGGCGGCTCCCGACCGGCCTGGGTAATTAGTCTCGGACCACTCGGAAACTCTCGATCGGCCTGGGCTGTTGCGCAAGGCCTCGGACCGCTCGACAACAATCGATTGGCCTGGGTTATAGCGTTTAGCCTCGGACTTTGTCACCTCGCTACTCGTTCGTCCCCCAAACGACTAGTCTTCCATGGCCTCGGACCGCTCGACCAATGACTGGGAGACCGTTTTGACTGTAAGACCGTTCGAAATATAACTCTAACAGTAAGATCGTTCAGTTTTGGTTGTCATCTCCTGTTCGGATTCAACGGTTCTCTCCCGTTCGGGTCCAACAATCCTCTCCTGTTCGGATCCGGCCGTCCTTTCCTTTTCGCTTCCTTGGAATTCTTCACTCTTGGTGGTTCCTGATCGGCCTAGGTGATTGGCCTTGGACCATTCGACCACTCCCGATCGGCATGGACTATAACACTTGTCCTCGGATCGTTCGGCAACTCTTTGGAACTCCTCAACATCCCTTGTGATCCGCATCGCCACCATCCATTCCTGCGGGTCATGCTGTCGGACTTGATTCCAGATATCCTCTTTCAATTCCGCAAGAAAATATTCTAACAACTGCTCGTCTGACACTCTCTTTGTTCGACCCGCCAATATCTTAAAATATTGTACATACTCATCCACCGTCGTCGTCTGTCTCATTGTTGTCAACCACTCAACAGTGATTCCAAATCTCCAGGACTTCCTTCAAACCATCCCATGAACTATTCTTGACTCTCTCGTTCCAATATTCATGTACACGAGGAACTAAATAATAATAAGCTGTCCCTAGAAACATACAATCTAAGAAACTTCCTAAAGAGTCATTTCATTGTTAAAAAAAACTACATTTCTAATTGATAAAATATAAAAACATTTGAAACAAGTATTGTACAAATGTCCATAATTACATAAGTAAAATAAAAAATATACATGATATATTGAGTTGAATATGATCGTGAAATATATATTTAGTAAATATTGTTAAAATTTAAGAATTTGGGTTCAATTATTGTACAGTTCTTTTTTGAAATGTACGACTTTATTAATTGAACTATTAATGCAAAATAAAAATTAAAAAAAAGTGATAAATACTGGGAACATAGTAATAAGTGTGAAGAAGAGAAAAAAAAAATCCCATGTGTTTGGTCATCCTGGTTTATCGCCTGAAGCACGTGACACGTACAATGAGAAAGGTCGCAAACACATGAGAAGGCCAACTTAGGATTTGAAAACGTTTCACAAACTCCACCTCTCCCATGTGAGTCAGTCCGCGGGCCTTTATTACAGTGCTAGAGAAGCGGCATTTGTTTGTCAAATCTATCAGAAGAATCAACTAATCTTGTCTTATATGATGTATTAACATAATTAATTACCTCTTAGTTTTACTAATCACAATTTACACACCTTATAAATGGGAGTTTTGTGACCTTTCTCCAAGTTTGGGTGATGGAGTTAATCAAAACTGAGAGATGAGATACATGAACGAGAGAACAGAGATGGGAAGAAGAAGAGGGAAAGAATCAAAATCATACACACTTCCTTCATCACCTTCTCACTCATTCTCCTCTTCTTCGTCTTCAGATTTCGAATTCACAATCTCAATCTCACCGCGCAAATCCTCCACCGCACTCTGCCCCGCCGATGAACTCTTCTACAAGGGTCAACTCCTCCCTCTCCACCTCTCCCAGCGCATCTCCATGGTCCGCACGCTCCTCCTCTCCTCCGCCAGCACCTCCTCCACCTCCACTGCCGCACGCGACTCTACCGGCAGCAGCTCCAACGACTCTCACTCCTCCTTCACCAGCGACCTTGCACTTTTTCCCGACTGCGACTCTTCTCGTCCTAGCTCCGTAACAGAGGAAGATGAGTTCAAGCGCCTCAATAACAGTACCGGTAACAGTAACAACAGCAACAACCACCCCTGTTCCATCTCCAAGAAGTCTCATAAGTTCTTTTTCTCCAGATTCTCCTCCGTTTTCCGCAAGGAAAACAACCTACAAGCCAAAACCCGTGACCTAGACAGTGCCTCTGCTAACTCCTCGGTGAAGCGGATGAGCGTCACCGCCAGGGAGGTTATCAGGAAGTATTTTAAGAAGGTCAAGCCTCTCTACGAGAAGCTCTCCCAGAAACAGCAGAGGTCCGGGCAGTTAAACACGGCGGAGGGTGCAAGTGCAGTAACAACGACTTCTGTTTTTTCTCTTTTAACTAAGACCGAGAGATCTACCAAACTCTCGGAAGGTACCAAGACAGGGAGAAAAGAGAGTGTGAGTGCTCTTTCTCATTCTTTCTCGGGAAATCTCAGATATCCTAGAAGAAGAAGCTGTGTTTCTAGTTGTCCTTCTTCCATGAGATCATCGCCCAATCACTCCGGTGTTCTTTCTCAACGAGGTGCTGCTGCTGCTGCTATGTACTGTGGAGACACTTCTTCTATGGAAGAGTTGCAGAGCGCGATCCAAGGAGCCATAGCCCATTGCAAGAACTCTTTGATTCAGAGCAAAACGATGGTCAGTAACGAAATCTAAATCTAAATCTAAATCTAATCTAATAAAGTCAAGTCAAATCCATGCAGTTTCTTTCTTCCCAGCTCTTTCCATTCCGTTGTCAATGTTCAAAATCCATGTTCCATCAGATGAATTAATTAACCACAAGGTTTGGTCAATAATCAGAAAATATTTTCTTTTACCTTGAACTATTTACTTGCGGTGGGGTGAAGTTAGAAATTTGCAATGTGACTATATTTTAAGAGTTCCATTTAAATTTGGCAACAAAGATGAACATGGAAAAGGGAACAAGTTATTATTTGACTGCCATTGTAGCCTTGGAAATTTGAAAAGTTATGGTCTGTATAATTTATTGCATAACAGTGACTTGGCTCTAGTTGTAGTAATTGCTCTGCAAAGCTAAATTGGCACCATGTGGCTTGGAGTTTTATTGAGATGAGATTCCATTTGTAACGTTACCTGAGCTAGCTACCTTCACAAAATAATTTTCGATTACCTAGCATCATCATCATAATAATAATTTCATATTTCTATCCCGAAATCCAAGTTGGTGTATAGGTATATAAAACTAATAAAAACAACCTTACATTGAAATACGGTCTCATCCTGCATGTGCGTAAATTAAAAGGAAGATTCAAGCCCTCTGGTGTGATTAAGAAGTTATATTAGATATACATTTTTGTTTAAAGAAGCAAGTAGGAAGCTTCTGTACAAGTTTCCATCTGTTCAACAATTCATCAATATTTAGAATTTTTAGTTTAAAATAATTCAGTAAGTTTTATTATACTTAAATCTTTAAATCAGTTTTGTATTGCAGTAAGTCTAATGTATTAAGAAAGGATGTTGGGTACCCCTATTAGTGTAATGAAAAAATGAGAAACGGAGAAAAAAAATACTAAGTTGTATTTGGCCATCTAAATTAACACTTACGAAAAATTTACTGTTGAGGGGAATTGATGATAATCAGTATTAGTATAATATTGAAGTTATTATATAGCACTCAATAATAAAATAATATTATTTTATTTTGTATCCTAGGGACACCTTATGATAAACAAAACTGAAATAGAATTGTGCTCCATACATTTTCAGTACTTAAGAAAGTTAACCTCACCATTATTTCAAATTAATGTTAGTATATGATTAATTAAAATTTTAAGTTGTTCTGACATCCAATAAATGAAATAATGGTATTCTATTTTGCACCATATGCAGATTTTAGGATAAACAACCTTATAATACAATTCAATTAGGTACCTCTCAGCATTTCTTAATTTTATCATTAATTGAAATGAATGACTAATTTTAAAGTTATTTTTATCTTGGATGAAAAGGTCCTTTTATTGGAAACAATTTTAGAGTAGAATACAATTACAGGAGAAAGTATCATTAATGCTTAATTGTGTACAATAAGAAAATTTAACACATTAATCTTGGATGAAAAGCTAGCTTTTACAAGTATGACATTTTTTTTTTCTGACACCTTAATTATTAACGGCCATTCGGCCCAATTAGTATTTAACTTCCCCTTGTTTGGTCCATTAAAAGAAGACATAAAATCAGTTGAAAATTTACGATTAATTTATTTATTAATTAAAATTATTTAAGTAACATATCATAATTTAAAAGTACTTGCTTTGGAATGAAGATAAAACTATATTTTCAGTCTGTAACTTTGTGAGATATTTTTGGGAAAATAATGTTTGTTTTAAACCCCAAAATAATGTTTGCTACAAAAATCTTATTCTAACTTGTTCTTTTCTTGTTGCTAGTTTCTTTTTATTTACTAAATTATATACTAATGTTATTTGCAATATTATCACAGATGGAATTATTTTTCGTATTTAATAAATATCACAAAATTGAAGGTTTCTTAATCCATTTGAAGTTAGTTAGGCAAATGAATTTCAAGTATTGGAGATTAAAATGATGGAAATGGAATGCACATGGTCTCTCTTGATTACCAGGACTTGTCACATGTCATTGATTTGCCTGGTGAAGCAATATGGTGACAAAAGAAGTAAATGTGTCTTTAATATTCCACGTTTTCTAATTCACCCACCCCATATATTTCCTTTCTTACATTCACGTGATTAAAGGCTTTCATTATGTTCTTGTCATTATATTATTGCGGCTTATAATTGTTCACATGTTTCTACAATTTCATGTAACTTCCTGTCATTTAAGTATGATCACTAACTTCTAAAACTAGTATGTACTCTTGGTAAAGTAATTATTAAGAATTTTAGCTTATTGGAATAGTTAGATATATATCGAATCTCTTTTTTCAAATCAACAAGGACAACATAATTCATAATCCAAATGCATTACATCTTGGATTCATAAACATGTTTTTCACTCTTTAATTTTAAGTAAAATTTTGAATTAATTATTTCTTAAAATGTTTGACCAAATTAGTAGTTCTATGTATTTAAAATGACATGAATTTATTTTTTTTAATCAAATTTTATTAAGTTTATGTGATATTTTTTAGTTTATATTGATATCAAACAATGTAAATAACTCAAATAGTATCATGAAACATGATTAGTATTAATATCAAATAAGGTAAATAACTTAAATATTATCATAAAATATATTTGAAATGTTAAATAAATCTAACAAAATTTATTAAAAATGATTAAATTTACGTATTTTTAAAATTAAAATTAAATTAAACAAAGTTTTTGAAAAAGGATTAATTTTGAAAGTTAAAAAAACAAAAGTTAGGAAGGACTTTTGATAGGTAATAATTAAGAATTTTAGCTTATTCGAACAGTTAAATATATACTGACTCTTTTTTTCAAATCAATAAAGACAAAATAAATTATAAACCAAATGACATTACATATTGGATTCATCAACAATTTAGAAAATTTGACAGGCCACAGCCGTCTCTGCTCATTGTTTTCATCCCCATCACAAAAAAACTTACATTACAACTACCTAACCAAGTGACACAACAATTGTTGTAGGTACTCATTCATCATGGTATGTTGTATGAAGTGTTCCAAAGGGTGTAAAATCTGGTGTGGCAGTGCCATTCTTGTGGTGATTTTGTTAGTCACAGTGATGGTGGTATTATTCTTCACCGTCTTCAAGCCTAAAGACCCAGACATTACCCTCCAATCAGTTAAACTCGAACGTTTCAAAGTAGAGTTTCCAACTCTTGGAGTAAACATATCATTAGGCGTAGTGGTCACAGTAGAAAACCGCAACCATGGAAGCTTTACCTACCAGAACAGCACTACGCATGTTTATCATCGAGGAACTCTGGTAGCCGAGGCTCCACTGCATGAGGACACTATTCCATCTCGTCATGATCATAACATAACCACGTCTTTGACTATTTTCGCAGACTTCAACAAACTTACGGATTTATTCACGGATTATTCAACGGGTGTTATAAATTTTACCTCAGCAGTCTCCTTATTCGGGAAAGTCGACGTCTTCAACCTCTTCAAGATGAAAGCTTCCAGTTACTCCACCTGCTCTTTCTCTCTTTTCGTCACTCACCAAACAATCGATTCTTACTGTAACTCACAATTCAAGTTATAAATTTTTTTTCTTAATTTTTCTCTTATACCGTTGCAAATCGCGTTGTTTGATTTGTTTTACTGTATCTATTCTGTTTATCATTCAAATGCTTATATTGTTTGTTTTATATTAATAAAAACTGTTAAAAATCTTGTTTTTATGAATATATGTATAAATTATTGTTAGAAATTTTGAGAGACCTAATTTAAATAATTGAGAAAATATAAATAATTAAATTAAAATGAGAATAATCCAAATATTATATAAAGTAAAATATAAGAACTAAAGGTGTAACTGTTTGTTGTTTAAAGTCCCTGTTCATTATGCAGTGATAATGTTATTTTTTTTTTTAAATTTAATTTTGCTTCATAAGCAAAAGATAGTTACATTTCTTTACCTTTTAAATTAGCTTAATTTCAAATATTTGTTTTATTATTTTATTTAATATAAATATATAATATACGAAATCTTTGTTATTGATTTAAAATATTGCCAACTTAAATAATAGTTTTAGAATGGACCACCCAATTAGTTCTGAAGTCTTTTTCTGCTGTTTGTCCTTTGACTTCGCAGACGCTTTAATTGAACGTAAATAAATGCGCATGGATTTAATAATATATTAAAATTTTGGTCACTGTTTTAATGTTTTATAATATTCAAAGTTCTGGTTTAATATGTTTCATTTTTCTAGTTTTAATTTGACTACTCAATATATGCATTTATCATACTTCAAAGAAATATTTAATTAATCAAAATGTAAACATAGAATAAATAAATGCAAAAATATAAATTAATGTTATTATGCCAATGAAAAAATATGTGTTCGTTTAAATTACTTTGAACCAGGACATATTTCTATTACTAATATAATATAGTACTGGTGTAATATATTTGATATGAAACTATAAAATTTATCTTTCTAACTTTAAAATTAAAAATATTAAGTCTACTATGATAATTCAAATTCTAATATGAACAATTAGTGATTTTTNACTTAAGAAAGTTAACCTCACCATTATTTCAAATTAATGTTAGTATATGATTAATTAAAATTTTAAGTTGTTCTGACATCCAATAAATGAAATAATGGTATTCTATTTTGCACCATATGCAGATTTTAGGATAAACAACCTTATAATACAATTCAATTAGGTACCTCTCAGCATTTCTTAATTTTATCATTAATTGAAATGAATGACTAATTTTAAGGTTATTTTTATCTTGGATGAAAAGGTCCTTTTATTGGAAACAATTTTAGAGTAGAATACAATTACAGGAGAAAGTATCATTAATGCTTAATTGTGTACAATAAGAAAATTTAACACATTAATCTTGGATGAAAAGCTAGCTTTTACAAGTATGACATTTTTTTTTTCTGACACCTTAATTATTAACGGCCATTCGGCCCAATTAGTATTTTACTTCACAAACTGGTGCAACCCATCCCCCTTGTTTGGTCCATTAAAAGAAGACATAAAATCAGTTGAAAATTTACGATTAATTTATTTATTAATTAAAATTATTTAAGTAACATATCATAATTTAAAAGTACTTGCTTTGGAATGAAGATAAAACTATATTTTCAGTCTGTAACTTTGTGAGATATTTTTGGGAAAATAATGTTTGTTTTAAACCCCAAAATAATGTTTGCTACAAAAATCTTATTCTAACTTGTTCTTTTCTTGTTGCTAGTTTCTTTTTATTTACTAAATTATATACTAATGTTATTTGCAATATTATCACAGATGGAATTATTTTTCGTATTTAATAAATATCACAAAATTGAAGGTTTCTTAATCCATTTGAAGTTAGTTAGGCAAGTGAATTTCAAGTATTGGAGATTAAAATGATGGAAATGGAATGCACATGGTCTCTCTTGATTACCAGGACTTGTCACATGTCATTGATTTGCCTGGTGAAGCAATATGGTGACAAAAGAAGTAAATGTGTCTTTAATATTCCACGTTTTCTAATTCACCCACCCCATATATTTCCTTTCTTACATTCACGTGATTAAAGGCTTTCATTATGTTCTTGTCATTATATTATTGCGGCTTATAATTGTTCGCATGTTTCTACAATTTCATGTAACTTCCTGTCATTTAAGTATGATCACTAACTTCTAAAACTAGTATGTACTCTTGGTAAAGTAATTATTAAGAATTTTAGCTTATTGGAATAGTTAGATATATATCGAATCTCTTTTTTCAAATCAACAAGGACAACATAATTCATAATCCAAATGCATTACATCTTGGATTCATAAACATGTTTTTCACTCTTTAATTTTAAGTAAAATTTTGAATTAATTATTTCTTAAAATGTTTGACCAAATTAGTAGTTCTATGTATTTAAAATGACATGAATTTATTTTTTTTAATCAAATTTTATTAAGTTTATGTGATATTTTTTAGTTTATATTGATATCAAACAATGTAAATAACTCAAATAGTATCATGAAACATGATTAGTATTAATATCAAATAAGGTAAATAACTTAAATATTATCATAAAATATATTTGAAATGTTAAATAAATCTAACAAAATTTATTAAAAATGATTAAATTTACGTATTTTTAAAATTAAAATTAAATTAAACAAAGTTTTTGAAAAAGGATTAATTTTGAAAGTTAAAAAAACAAAAGTTAGGAAGGACTTTTGATAGGTAATAATTAAGAATTTTAGCTTATTCGAACAGTTAAATATATACTGACTCTTTTTTTCAAATCAATAAAGACAAAATAAATTATAAACCAAATGACATTACATATTGGATTCATCAACAATTTAGAAAATTTGACAGGCCACAGCCGTCTCTGCTCATTGTTTTCATCCCCATCACAAAAAAACTTACATTACAACTACCTAACCAAGTGACACAACAATTGTTGTAGGTACTCATTCATCATGGTATGTTGTATGAAGTGTTCCAAAGGGTGTAAAATCTGGTGTGGCAGTGCCATTCTTGTGGTGATTTTGTTAGTCACAGTGATGGTGGTATTATTCTTCACCGTCTTCAAGCCTAAAGACCCAGACATTACCCTCCAATCAGTTAAACTCGAACGTTTCAAAGTAGAGTTTCCAACTCTTGGAGTAAACATATCATTAGGCGTAGTGGTCACAGTAGAAAACCGCAACCATGGAAGCTTTACCTACCAGAACAGCACTACGCATGTTTATCATCGAGGAACTCTGGTAGCCGAGGCTCCACTGCATGAGGACACTATTCCATCTCGTCATGATCATAACATAACCACGTCTTTGACTATTTTCGCAGACTTCAACAAACTTACGGATTTATTCACGGATTATTCCACGGGTGTTATAAATTTTACCTCAGCAGTCTCCTTATTCGGGAAAGTCGACGTCTTCAACCTCTTCAAGATGAAAGCTTCCAGTTACTCCACCTGCTCTTTCTCTCTTTTCGTCACTCACCAAACAATCGATTCTTACTGTAACTCACAATTCAAGTTATAAATTTTTTTTCTTAATTTTTCTCTTATACCGTTGCAAATCGCGTTGTTTGATTTGTTTTACTGTATCTATTCTGTTTATCATTCAAATGCTTATATTGTTTGTTTTATATTAATAAAAACTGTTAAAAATCTTGTTTTTGATGAATATATGTATAAATTATTGTTAGAAATTTTGAGAGACCTAATTTAAATAATTGAGAAAATATAAATAATTAAATTAAAATGAGAATAATCCAAATATTATATAAAGTAAAATATAAGAACTAAAGGTGTAACTGTTTGTTGTTTAAAGTCCCTGTTCATTATGCAGTGATAATGTTATTTTTTTTTTTAAATTTAATTTTGCTTCATAAGCAAAAGATAGTTACATTTCTTTACCTTTTAAATTAGCTTAATTTCAAATATTTGTTTTATTATTTTATTTAATATAAATATATAATATACGAAATCTTTGTTATTGATTTAAAATATTGCCAACTTAAATAATAGTTTTAGAATGGACCACCCAATTAGTTCTGAAGTCTTTTTCTGCTGTTTGTCCTTTGACTTCGCAGACGCTTTAATTGAACGTAAATAAATGCGCATGGATTTAATAATATATTAAAATTTTGGTCACTGTTTTAATGTTTTATAATATTCAAAGTTCTGGTTTAATATGTTTCATTTTTCTAGTTTTAATTTGACTACTCAATATATGCATTTATCATACTTCAAAGAAATATTTAATTAATCAAAATGTAAACATAGAATAAATAAATGCAAAAATATAAATTAATGTTATTATGCCAATGAAAAAATATGTGTTCGTTTAAATTACTTTGAACCAGGACATATTTCTATTACTAATATAATATAGTACTGGTGTAATATATTTGATATGAAACTATAAAATTTATCTTTCTAACTTTAAAATTAAAAATATTAAGTCTACTATGATAATTCAAATTCTAATATGAACAATTAGTGATTTTTTCTTTTTCATCATGATTTTATAACAATATGAACATTTGCATTATTATTATGAACCCGCTACTCAAAAGCACAATCTATTCAAATTTAATGATAAATTAAGCTCTGAAGTTAATCCCACCCTCACCATAGCATGCACACTGCAAGAGGCACTCATTATTACACTTTTCTGTTTTCATTTAGGACATGTTTGCAATCTTTTTTCATTAGAATTTTTAAAAAAGAAAATACAAAATTAATTTTTTCCCTATATTAAAATTAACTTATGCAAATTTTATTGATTAGTTTCAGAGTCTTTATCCTTAAAAGAATTAGTCTCCAGCTAAAGTTTGAATGTCTTTCATCTTTAGTTAATAATTAACATAAATAGTTTTTTAAAATTTGGTGAAAATCTAAAATTACAAAAATTGTGTTTAACTTAACCATTAAAAATATTTTCAGGGTTTTTTTTATAATTTCCATAAATTGTTTCCATGTAATAAGCTGAGAATGTATTATGTTTTAGTTGTGCTTTTTTTTACTGTAATGAAAAAAACCTAATTAAATTTTAAGTTTTCGTAAATTTGATAATTTTTATTATGGTTGAATATTAAAAGAAATATATTTTTCGATTAAGATTCTGCCATTTAATTTTATTATTAAGTGTATCATTTATTGTTTTTCTGTCACGTATTATTTTATATAATTTTTATAAAAATTATAAAATAATAAGTGACAATATTTGTATTTTGTTATCAAAAAATCAAACATAATTAACTCAATAAAAAAATATAATGCTTTTTTAGTAGACTCAAGTAAAGGTTTTCAAGTTTATATAAACTTAAAATTGAATTAAGTCATAAAAATAAGACATTTGAATAAAATATCATAATATTTTTTAAATATTAATAACTAGCTAAACATAATTATATTACCATGATTAAGAATTATGTTTATTATTTATAAAAGATAGGTATAAATGCCTGTGGGCATAGTTGGACAGTGAAAAAGAAAAAGACAAAAGGGAGTTGAGACAATTTCGGAATTACCCCTCCGATCTGGCACTCACTGGCGTGTTCAAATCCCGAATTCCATTTGGAACACTCTTTTTTTTGCTTTCTGCCTCTTCTTCTCTTGCGCTGTTTCTCAACACTTTGGGTTGCGTCTCCCAGAGACAGAGGGACCTTCTCCTCCTCCTTCTTCTTCTCCTTCTTCTCTCGTCCATGGACCTTCACAACCGACCGGATCACTGTTTTCCGGAGAAGAAAGGTCAGAAGAGGAAGTTGGAGGAGGATTTCGAAGACGACCGACAGATCTCCGCCCCTCCCACCGGCCACGCGAGAGACGCCCTCCTTTCCGACGTCAAGGAACAGGTCATCGTTCTTGATTCAACCTTCTCATGGAAGGAATCCGATCGTGCTGCCGCCAAGCGCGCCACGCACGCCCTTGCCGATCTCGCCAAAAACGGTACATCTATTTGTCATCTTGCTGCATTCGTTATTGTTTTATTCTTTCGCGGAATTCGGTTATTTGCTGGTTTTGTCCGTTGTTGCGCTTCATTCGGTGCTTGTTTTTGTTTGTAGAGGAAGTGGTGAACGTGATTGTTGAAGGAGGCGCAATTCCTGCTCTGGTTAAACATCTTCAAGCGCCTCCTCTGACTGGAAGCGACCGGTTGCAGAGGCCAATGCCGTTTGAGCACGAGGTCGAGAAAGGAAGTGCTTTCGCGCTTGGACTTCTCGCAGTCAAGGTAATTTTACTAATCATCTATGGTGACTGTTAGGAATTATTGCAACTTAGCTTCTTCATGTCTTTGATTTGACAAGCTCTAAAGTATATATGATTCAATGTTTTAATTGTATTGTGATATAAAGTTGTACGTTGAGTTAGCTTACTCGTGATAGTTATTTCCTTTTTTAAACTTTGGTCACACCAGAAATTGTTTTAATGTTATCGTTTTCACTGAACGGCGTGAATGGTATAGTAGATACTGTATTGTAGAAGGAAGCTTTGAATATAATGCATGATGGTCTAATATGTGGTGTGAAATGAAATGCCTTCTGCAGCCGGAGCACCAGCAGCTCATCGTTGACAGCGGTGCTTTGAAACATCTCGTTGATCTTTTGAAGAGACATGAAAATGGCTTAACATCTCGTGCCATTAATAGTCTAATTCGTAGGGCTGCAGACGCGATTACTAATCTTGCGCACGAGAATAGTAGTATTAAGACTCGTGTCAGGTATGCTTCTTCGAGTACTACCTTGCAATTGAAATTTAATTTGGAATGGTTTTATCTTATGATTATCTGGAGTTAATGTGTAGGATGGAAGGTGGGATTCCACCGCTCGTTCATTTACTTGAATTTGCGGATACAAAGGTGCAAAGAGCAGCTGCTGGTGCATTGCGAACCCTTGCTTTCAAAAATGATGAAAATAAAAATCAGGTTAGCGGTCTTTAGTAATGTTGGGAATTGAAATTGACTTACTTATGATACGAATGAGTCACATAACATCATGACATGTAGATTGTTGAATGCAATGCCCTTCCAACTCTGATTCTAATGCTTCGTTCAGAAGATGCTGCTATTCATTATGAAGCGGTATTGCTTGTGCCACCATAATTATAAACTTGAATTTTGCAATATTGTTGACTTTGATCTTTGCACTTATCTTACTGGAAACTTGCAATGAATTTTATTGAATTACAGGTTGGTGTGATTGGAAATCTGGTCCACTCTTCTCCTAACATAAAGAAAGAAGTTATTCTTGCTGGAGCCCTACAACCGGTCATCGGATTACTTAGGTATATTCTTACTTAGCCCCATGGAAAACTGCTATGCACATATCTTGTCTTCTCCCATGTTTCGTCTCTGTGGTTAATTTGTATTGCTATTATAACTCAGTTCCTTTTTTCTTTCCAATAATTTTCCGTTATATATATTACTGAAAAAAATGTCTTTCTATTAACCTATTCTAATACTGTATGATGAAACAGCTCCTGTTGCTCTGAAAGCCAGAGGGAAGCAGCCTTGTTACTTGGACAGTTTGCAGCAACTGATTCAGACAGCAAGGTAAACAGTAACTTTAGTTTTTCTAATAACTTCATGATTTGAACTGAATGTTGAGGGACATAAAGGTATAAAGGGATAAAACCCTAACACGTCTGTTTTTATGTTTGTTTACTGGTGAAAAAGGGGATGTGAACAATTTTATGCATTTATTTTTAGTTTGGATTCTGATAAGTACTCAAGCATTTGGGGAACCAACCCTCAAAAGCTAGCTATTGAGGAGTGAGAGTCAAACACTTAAATACTTCATTGAGCATCCCATACTACTTGTTGCAAACTAAGGCATATCATAGCACTGCCCCTAAGAACTGACTAGTTAGAACTCTCCCTAAGTAGCCCTTTACAAGATATCGACAACCGTCTCTAATACAAGTACCTATGTTCTTGGGAAAATGATGTGACTTGGAAAATAAAATAAATCTGTATTTTCTTTTTGTGAATAAACTAGCAATCCTTAGTATTAGTATATTCTGTGTTTTGTTTGGACATAAGGCTAGGGAAGGAAGTGTTTGTCTAGTCCCTTCCCACCATTCTCTCTTTATAACAAGCGGTTATGTACTCATTTTGACAACTCTGGTTGAATAAAATTCGTGTGTTGTTATCTTGAGTGTGTCATATCTCAAATGGCGAACATCGTTCTCTTTTACTTATCTCTTGTGTGGTTCATTAGGGTTAATCAAAGTTCAGGAAGTAGAGTTTTCTCTCTTAAGGTTTATTATATTGTGAGCTAGTTCGCAAGCCTTAATTCCCCATACTTGTTCATCTCATAGATTTGACTGCTCAAGGTTCTTTCCCAATTTGTAGCATTCATGATTCTTATCTTGTGGGTTTGGTCACAAGTGGCGAATCACCATCTTGTTTATCTCATGGAGTTTGAGTGGTGCAAGGTAGGTATTCTTGAATCTTTTTCTTTCCAAGGCTTCTGCAAAATTGAAGATCACATTTTATCCAAGCATTCTTGAAAGAATTGTTCCAAGAATTCATCTAGGAGATCTTCCTTGATCCTCCCTACCCAGGCAAGCCTCCCTTGGGTTTTCATCAGAAACTCACCTCAAAAGCTAGCTATTAAGGAGGGGAACCAAACACTTAAATACTTGATTATGCATCCCATACTGACTTAGGCACCTCCTAATATGCAAGTTAGTTGCATAGCTTATTTCTGAATAGGTGGCTTAGTGGGTATTAGTTCATCAACGTTTTGTGTATCATATATCTCTGTTTTTAATCTTACCTTTTTTGTTTGATTTTGTAGGTTCACATTGTTCAGAGGGGTGCTGTCGGACCTCTGATAGACATGCTTCAGTCTCCTGATGTTCAGCTAAAAGAAATGTCTGCTTTTGCATTGGGGAGATTGGCCCAGGTTATTTCTTTTCCCTCGTCTTTTCCATGTAAGAATCACGTGTGCACATTTCCATTTATAGTTTTCAATAGGAAATGGTAACACATATTCTATGATTTTTCATCTGTGTAAGTATTATAAAGTATATTCTTGGCAATGAGTTAGTTTTCAGTTTCTCTTTCTCGTTTAACTTGTTGACATAAATTCTGTGCATTTCTGTGTTAAGTTTTGTACTAATTCTTGTCTTAGAACATAATAGTCATCTTTCTGAGTACTGTTTCCTTTTAGCACCATAACCTGAAGATATTCAATTTTAAATTTCAGGACACACATAACCAAGCTGGTATTGCACACAATGGTGGCTTGATTCCATTACTGAAGCTTCTTGACTCAAAAAATGGGTCTTTGCAACATAATGCTGCTTTTGCTCTTTACGGCCTTGCAGATAATGAGGTAAAATAACTGAGTTCTAATAAAAGATCATCTGTCTTGACGGTAGTAAAGCTTATTACTTGAAGTTAAAGTAAAATAACTGTTCCTTTTTATATTTTTTATTTTGTCCCATAGGATAATGTGGCCGATTTTATTAGGGTAGGTGGAATTCAGAGACTTCAGGATGGAGAGTTTATTGTTCAAGTAAGTTTGCTTTGTTGATAGCTATTCTGTTTCATGGTTTTTGCATTTGCCCTTTGTTGCCTATATCATTGGGAGTTCAGTGCTTTAGATATTGCATGCAAATTTTATGTTCTTAGAAACACTCTGATAACTGTTTCATGGTTTTTGCATTTTCCCTTTGTTGCCGATGTCATTGGGAGTTCAGTGCTTTAGATATTGCATGCAAATTTTATGTTCTTAGAAACACTCTGATAGATAAGAAATCGGTTTCTCTTGCAGGCAACTAAGGATTGTGTTGCAAAGACATTAAAAAGATTAGAAGAGAAGATTCATGGGCGAGTATGTACCATTTCACATTCGCTTGTACTTTGATACATTTTACTGAAATTAATATGGAAATGGTTGGGATGCTACTACTGTATTAATTATTAATTATACAACAATAACAACAATCTATCCTTATCACACCAGTTTGAATTCTATATCCTGTTCAGATTTGTAACATATTAATTTTGTCTTTGCAGGTGCTGAACCATTTGTTATATCTCATGCGAGTCTCAGAGAAGGCTTTTCAAAGAAGAGTTGCTTTGGCTCTTGCTCACCTTTGTTCTGCAGATGATCAGAGAAAAATATTTATTGATCACCATGGTATGCATCTTCTTAATCAAATATTTTGCTTAAGTTTGATGTTTTTTGTTTTTTTGAACCTTTATCTGTGTGTTATATTGCCTTTCCTCTTCTATATGAATCCAAGCAACTGCCCTTGCAGGTTTGGAATTGCTTATGGGGCTTCTTGGCTCGTATTATAATCCTAAGCAACAACTTGATGGAGCTGTGGCTTTATGCAAGTTGGCCAATAAAGCCACGACTCTGTCTCCTGTGGATGCTGCACCCCCATCTCCCACACCCCAGGTAGTCATATATAATATTTGACTTGTTTTCATCCTTCAGCATCATTGCTAAGGGGTTGACTGCCTTTTTCCTATATTTTCATTTAGTCTCTATGTTTTGCTTATATATGATGTTTTTAGGTTAAATTTTCTTTGCTGTCCTTTTCATGATGACATATGGAAATTTGTTCCTGTTTGTTTTTACTTTTTTTTCTTTTTTGCTATTTATAACATCACCTTGTACTCAACAACACGTGTGATAAGGCTGTTATCAACTGTGGCTAATTAATTTTTCAAATCCTACCTGATATGACCAAGTAAGCAAGGACTTTTGTCATTTTGTATTAAGGCTTAACTGTTAGCAGGGATGTAAACCTCTAGTGTAACTGATAAAACACCATGCTTAGATGCTGGGCCTTCCCTTTTTAAGCAATTGGGCATGGATGACTGGGCTGAATTGACCAAATAACCCAACGTGCTCTTCATGACCCTTTGTGCATATAATTTTCACTCTTCTAGAGGATCTGTCTTTGAATGCAGAGATAATTTTCACTGATGGACTGCTTACTTTCTGTCTTGTGTCTTGATAATTCTGGATCCATTTGGTGTTTTAAAAAGTTTTAATGCCTGTGATGCTAGATTTTTCTTTTTATAGGTCTATTTGGGAGAGCAGTATGTAAACAATGCTACCTTGTCTGACGTTACATTTCTAGTTGAAGGTAGATGGTTTTTCATTAACATTGTTTTCTTAAACCTTTTTGCTGGGAGAACAATTCACCTAGAATGCAGTGTTGTTGTAGCTGCAGTTGACATTTGTAGATAACTTGGTATTTTTGTTCTTTGCTGCAGGCAAACGATTTTATGCTCACAGAATTTGTCTGCTTGCATCTTCAGACGCATTTCGTGCTATGTTTGATGGAGGTTATAGGGTGAGTATATACTGATATTGAGGGTATCATATATCTCCTCTCACTGTTATTGACTCCACGATTTCATAATAAACATCGTGTATAATCTGTTATTTTGGTTTTTAAATATAGCTGTTGGATATTCATTTCTTAACCTTATTATATAATAGCGTGCCCTGCTGTGTAAATTACCACAGATTCAATGATGTCTCTAGTTTTCTTTTCCTCTCACCCAACAATAGCAATAGAAAAGAAATATTTCATATCTCAGCACAATAATTATGATATGCAATTCCATTATTGTATGACAGGAGAAGGAGGCAAGGGACATAGAGATTCCAAACATTAGATGGGAGGTTTTTGAGTTGATGATGAGGTCAAATAAAGCCTACATTCACATGCTTTATGAAAATTGTGCTGTGAAAGCTTGTAATAATTTGTGAAAAACTTAAGTCATATTGCTTTTATTTCTCCAGATTTATATACACGGGATCAGTTGAGATCACGCTTGACATTGCCCAAGATCTCCTCCGAGCAGCTGATCAATATCTTTTAGAAGGACTCAAGAGACTCTGTGAGTACACGATTGCGCAGGTCAGCTAAGAATTTTTATTCACACATAAATACACAATCTTGACCCTTGTCCTCGTGCTCTACTATAAGACTGGAAAGTGGATTTCTCTAATTTGATGTTTTGGTCCCAGGATATATCACTTGAGAGCGTATCAAGTATGTATGAACTTTCTGAAGCATTTAATGCTATATCGTTGAGGCACACATGCATCCTTTTTATCTTGGAACACTTTGATAAATTGAGTGTAAAGCCAGGGTAAGTATCTGATTCCTCTAAAATGTGTACAAGATGTCTCTAATAAGTAAACAAAATGTAAGTTTGAGGTTTTATGCTAGTTGCATCTAATTTTAATACCTATTTCTCTTTATTTTCCTTGTAGTTTTGAGAGTTTGTGTCAACCTAAAAGGAGTTCAGATATTGAAAGTTTGGGTCTACTTAAAATTCTTTTAAATGACTAAATAAAAAATTATATGCCTACCGAGTCCAATAAATAATTAGTGTTTGACTTGATTTCATTTCTGTTTCCATTTTAATTAAGTTCTATTTCATTTAAAAAGCGGGTTTGGTGTTATTTTTATTTGTATTCATGTGAGAAATGGGGTGGACATTAATTGGTTATCAAAATATGAAAAGCTGCAAGCTGCCTTTTTTCGGGGAGGGCAGATTGTATTTTGTTCAACATGCTGCTTATCTTTCTTTTTTCTGCTATAAGTTGCTATATGCTTAGTTTTGTTTGCTGCTTTTGACAAATATGATAGACATGGATCTTAAACTTTGTTACATAATATATACCGACCTCTGGTTTGACATTAATTGAATAATTAAGCTTTGGTAGGATAAATAAATCACAAATATGATGAATATATTTCATTTTTACATTTCTATGGTTTCTGTCTTTCTAAAATTTTTGTTCATACCAATTACTTGCAGACACTCCCATCTAATTCAGCGTATAATACCTGAGATCCAGAATTACTTTGTTAAGGCCCTTACAAAGGCCAATTCCAACAATCAACCGTAGCATTTCCTGTTCTATTTGACATCTAACCAGTTGCAATGTACATAATGCGGTCGTTGTTAATTGAACCTGAAGTCTCCTGGATTGAGTGCCGCATGGCTTAAAAATTCTAACATCAGGTCTACGTTCTTTTCTGATGCAGTGTAAGTCCCTTCTAGGCTTTAGTTGTAACGTCATTCTCGTAGATGTAGCAAATGACCTTCACGAACATTGTTTTTTTCTTGCGCAATATTGTGATGGTTATGAATTGATAGTGTTCTCTTTCTCAATTGATTTGGCATTATAATTGTTGTGTTTCTGAGAGTAGTATAGGTTGCTCAAGTACCTCATGTATATATGACAATTGGATATTTGTCTGTAATGTGGCAAATACAAGTAGTTTTAAATTAATTGCAAAATGCAAATTCGTCATTTAAAGTGGCAAATGCATAATTTGGATACTCAATTACTTGTTTGACCATGACATTTAATTAGTTGCTGCTTATAGAATTGGCTGCATGTAATGCTGTATGGAATGAAAGACACCTATATCCAAAATGAAAAATTCTCTCAAATCAGTGGACATCCAAAATCTTCTGAACATCAAAACTACCGGTTTCGCTTGGTGGGCCGGGAATGCCCGACTTATCAATTTATCCGGTAAACTATTAGGGGCCCATGTAGCCCGTGCTGGATTAATAGTATCCTGGGTCGGAGCAATGAACCTTTTTGAAGTGGCTCATTTCGTACCTGAGAAGCCCATGTATGAACAAAGGTTTAATTTTGCTTCCTCACCTAGCTACTCTAGGTTGGGGAGTAGGTCGGGGGGAAGTTATAGACATTTTTCCATATTTTGTGTCTGGATTACTTCACTTAATTTCCTCTGCAGTATTGGGCTTTGGCGGTATTTATCATGCACTTCTGGAACCTGAGACTCTTGAAGAATCAATCTTTTCCGTTCTGGTTATGTATGGAAAGATAGAAATAAAATTACTACAATTTTGGGTATTCACTTAATCTTGCTTTATGATGATCTAGGAGAATCTTCTATAATATTTTGATGCACTTTGACCAATCAAAACATGTGAAATGAAAATTGAATGTGTCGTCAGATTAAATAGTAAAATCTAAATCTTTTGTCTAGATGAATCAGAAGTTGTGGTGAGTTTAAAGAATCCCCCAACTCACTCCCAACGGTGTACTTTCAATCGGAATGAGCCAATCGGCCGAACTCAAGTCTTTTTATGCTCGTTTCATGATTAGAGTAGACTGCAAGTCATTCTTTGCACGTGCATGAGATAGGTATGTCTTCTGCTTTTCAGGCTTTGTATGCCAGTATCAAACAAACATGAGTTATGTATATACTAACTTGACACGCGGTCTTTAAAGTAGTCTATTTCATTGTTGCCGTTGAAAGCAAATTCATCGAGTCGCATTATTTTGAAATAGTGTCTTCTGAACTTTATGGCAAAAATGAATTGCCGTTTAATTGAAAAGAGTGAACAGGATGGAGTAACTGTTGATCATTGCATCATGCATGCATGGTGGATACATCGTATCTCATTTGGCTTTTCCTCCAAAGGATTGAACTTTTGTAGATGAAATTGAGTTGTAGTTATCATTTGAAAAATGGTTAAAAGTAGGAATATTAATAGGAAATTCTTAAACTAAAAGAAACTTTTAAATAGGGGAATGCACAACTCTACTAAATTCATTTATCCGCACACTTAAAAAAAACCCTTGTTGAAAGGCAAGCAAACTTATGCAGATCTTTCACTGGCGAAGAAAATAAGCAAGAATTTTTATCAATCTTGCGGCTTGTTCAGTTTCCGTATCAAACATGTAGACAAGATGCTGTTCTTCAATGTTCCACCCACTCTCCTGCCAAGCTAGGAGCGGCAGGAGTCATTAGATTGATCATGGAGTTGTCTAACCCACCAGCTGCATCAGAGTAAACAAAGTTCCTAATGAAGGACGGATGGGCCTCTTCAAACCCATAATAGGTTTGCGCACGCTAGGCTTTGAATCCAGAAGTAACGATGGTTAAGATAAATACATGAACTTTTAAACCACCTGGTAAAAAGCTATGACCCTCAACCAATATCTTACTGGAATCACCACTTCGCCGTTGGTGGTGGAGTTGCATGTGAAGCAATTCATTTCAGACCATCCCTACAATCATAATAAACTGTTGGGAGAAAATACTCTGGAGATTTCCTACGCTCTATGGAAATGATTATAACATTTGCCTGAGAAGCTAGATTACAGAATTTGGTGGTCAGAGCAGAAGCCACTTCCACAGAGTATATACTAAAATAGGAATTTTTTGGTTGGGTAGAGTTAGTTTTGGAAAGAAAAGGGGAGAAAAAAAAAAAGAAAAAGGTTGTTTGAGAAGAGAATCTCTCGTATGAGAGAGCGGGCGGAGTGAGGGAGGAGTTCTTGGTTGGTACGTTTGATGGAGCCATCGTTGTAGACCTATAACATTTTAGACATAGTTGTAGACATATAACATTTTAAGAAGAAAAAAGATATTTTGATACAGATTTTCAAGAATGCAAAATTGAATCACAAGACTTTTAATCAGTTCTCTTTTTTTTTTTATACCATAATATCACTTCTATGCAATTTTATTTTATGTTATTTGATGATTAAACCACATGACTTATACTAGAGGTGGTTTTAAAACTAAAAACATGAATTAAAAGCTTTGCTGAAAGATTAATGGCTTATTTTGCATTTTTTCTTCATTATCAATTCCATTTATAAAGTGTACCATATTTTAGTTAACAAAAATATTATTATATATTATGGATTTTAATTTTTAAGATTAAGAGTATTTGAATAATTTTTTATTTTTTTAAATTTAAATTAAAAATAAATTATCTTTAAAATATCTTTGTGTTTAAATTATGTTTTTTTTATGAATATGATTTTTGCTATAGTATACTTCTATACTTTAAAATGTTAAAACAAGAACCTTTTTAAATATATATTTTTTCTTTGAATTACGTTGAATTTTTATTTTAAATTATATTTTATCATCGAAACACTCTTATCAATGTGAATAAATTAATTAAAATGTTCATATATTTATATATAATTATAGTTATAAGTATATTGATAAGAAAATCACCGTTAAATTTTGAAATTTTAAATTAAAACAATAAAAACAATATCAAATAAAATTAAAAAATAAATAAATCAGAAATATTTGGGACAAAATACGAGTAATCAAAGGTTGATGACATTATTCTCTTATCCTAAAAAATTGTAACTTTATATACTATTATTTTATTATAATATTATATTTATATTTATTATTATTATTTTAATATAATATTTTTATTATGAATAGTAGTCATCAAAATTAATGAAAGGATGTTTTTTCGTAATCAAATCATGCAGGCATTGGCATAATAACGTTAAAGCAATAAAGACTTAATAAATAAAGAATAATGAAACATCACTAAAGTATTGAATATAACTCAGGCTCATCTAGCAAAAGGAACATCTAAAAGCATGATTTTAAGAGAGTCAAGCAAATTTATTGTTTGGGAAAATGATACTTGAACAACAATTTTTGACAACATTTAGATACGCGCACACGTGTCTAAATTTGAGTGGTCCAGTTGGAAAAATTAAATGAAAATGGACCACTCAAATTTAGACACGTATTTGCGTGTCTAAATGTTGTCAAAAATGATTGTTCAAGTATCATTTTCCTATTGTTTGCATGTAAAACAAGGAAGATAAGAAATACAAATCTGACAGAGAAAAGAATGTTTCTAGAAGGTAAGAAAATCCACAGGATTTTGGCGTGAGTTTCCATATTTATTATTTTTTAATAACTAAGTTGTGTATGTCAACTAACCAAGATATTATAATTTTGTAGTTTATGTATATATAACTGAAGTTGTATAAAAATAAAAATATTATTTTAAGATAGGTCTCTTATATATAATAATAAGAAATTAAATAAAATTTTAATTTTAATTAATTTAGTTTTTTTGATTTTGTTTAAATGATTTATTAAAAAGGGAAATGAAGATATATTTTAAATATTTTAAAATTTGAATATACTTAATTTTTTATAATTGTTAAATATAATTTTTAATTTTATCACCTTTGTTTTATTGTCCTTTTTCCACGTGTTATGTAGTTTGTAGAGAAAATGACTATCAAATCAATGCCACAATTTTCACAACAATACTCCTTTTTAAAATTCTAATAGTGCAAGGCAATCTTCATTGAATTAGGAAAACACATTTAAAAATACTTGATGAAATTAAATTGATGAAATATATTAATATTTGTTAGTTAGTAATTTTTTACTAATTAGTTAATATTTTGTATTTCATGTTTGTAGCCATTTAAAGAATTTTAAGAAAAAGATGTTGCAAAAAGTAAGAATGAATATGATTTCGAAGATATATCATATTTTAGTAAAATTAATATGTCTAACTTTCTCTCTTTTTATGCATAGGTAGAATGAACACAAGGAAAATTACCAACTTTTTGTAAAATTAATGGATGCTTTTGATTGTTATAAAAATTTAATCATGTGTAATTATTGAATATTTTATATAATCATTTAACTTCTATTGTTATTTTGTACTTTAATTTAAGATTTACACCAGTATAGTTTCCTATTTTTAATATTTGACACGAAAAAAAACTGTTTTGACCTTGAAGATTTGAGATTTTACTTTTTTATAAAATTTATTTAATTGATTTAAAAAAATAAATAAGTGGTGATATATCCATTATCCAATAAAAATATAGATAGAATAAAATTTTTATATATATTAATATTGGTATAAATGAGATGGAAATGAATTTGTAAGATAAGAATGAATTTTATACCCATTGGTCCACTTGACATGTTTATATGAAAAAGAAAAAGATTGACAAATTTAGATTCTTTGTTGATTTTTTGTGTTATTTCTCTTTAATATTTTCAAAATACACTTATAAATATATTTTAAAAAATACTAAAAATATTTCTAAAATATCATAATATATTTTTAATACTCACTAGAAAACAGGCACAGAAAAACCAATGAAAAATTTTAACTTGTAGTTTGACACTCATCTAAAGTTACGCCCACTACACAGTTGTTTTAATAATATAATAAGATATATCAGTATTTAAATTTTAAAAATAAAATGTACTCAATTAAAATATTAATATTTTATAATTGTCATGAGGTTGTTTTTACTTTTAAAAGTCTTTATATACCTCTCTAAAACTAATAGAAAAATATTTGTATTTAAAAATATAAAATAATTTAAAATGAAAATATTAATTTTGTATACTGGGAAATTGAAAAGTGTAGTAGTACTGGCCATAGAATTTAACTTGGAAGAATCCAAAGGTGATGATGCATCCTTCTCATATGATGGAATGGCTGAAGATCACCCACTCAAGCGAGGAATCACTTTATTTCTGACACTTCAAAAACTCTCCACCAGATTTACGAGGTGGAGTTGGGGCATCTGAAAGCAGGTCCACAAAAAACTCAATTACCACCATTTAAAACAAAACATGTTTTCACCATTTAAAACAAAACATGTTTTGAGACGCAGAAGAACTCAAACAAGATAACAATGGAGATTCCAAACTTTGTCAGAGTTCACGAAGATGGCACCATCGAACGCCTCCAAGGCTCTCCCTTTGTGCCGCCCACGCTTCAAAATCCGACAACAAATGTATCATCGAAAGACGTTGTCATCTCAGATAAACCTCCCATCTCTGCTCGTCTATACCTTCCAAACGGAATCCAGTCCCAGGAGGACAATCTCAGTAGTAACAACCTCAAACTCCCCATCTTGGTCTACTTTCACGGTGGAGGATTTTTCTTCGAATCTGCCTTCAGCCAACTCCACCAGAACTATTTCAACACGTTTCTCTCCGTCGCAGACATTTTAGTCGTTTCTGTGGAGTACAGATTGGCACCGGAGACTCCTCTTCCTGCGGCTTATCACGACTGCTGGGAAGCTCTGAAATGGGTGGCAGCCAAGGCTGACCCGTGGGTTCTCAAACACGGCGATTTCGACAGAGTGTTCGTTGGAGGTGACAGTGCTGGCGCTAACATAGCGCATAACATTGCCATGCGAGCTGGGGCCGAAGCATTACCCGGTGGTGTAACAGTTTTAGGCGCTCTGGTTTCTCATCCCTACTTCTTGGGGTCAAAGCGAATCGGGAGTGAAACGGAAGAAAGCGTGTGCTTTAGGTGTTGGGAATGGATTCAGTCGTGTGACGACGGTGGGTTTGACAACCCGTTGATAAATCCGCTGAGTAGTGCGGCGGCTTCGTTGAGTGGGCTTGGGTGTCGGAAGGTTCTGGTTTGCACGGCGGAGATGGATGAGCTGAGGGAAAGAGGTGTGTGGTACTACGAGGCTGTGAAAAAGAGTGGGTGGGAAGGGGAAGTGGAACTGTACGAAGTGGACGGCGAGGATCACGTTTTTCACGTCAACGATCCACGAACCCAGAATGCTCACAACATGTTCAAACGCTTTGCGGATTTTATCCTTCACTAGAAAAAAAAATAAAAAATAAAAAAGGAGTTATCACTCAAATAAATTATGTAATGAAAAATAAAATAACTTTTTTTTTTTAGGAAAATTTGGACATCGTTGTGTCCCTAAATAAAAAGATGAACATCTTAATGTTTGTTTTAAACTCAAGTAAAATTGTATTTCATTTTCTTTTAATTCTTGCTAACGCTGTTGAATTATTTGAGTTAATATACTTGATGCCAGTGAGATTAATTTAAAATTTATATAATAAAATAATTTTATGAAATTAAGTTAAATTTAAAATTCACTTTCTACTAAATTCCCATATGCGAGACTAACTTGCGCTTGGAAGATGAGAATTCACTGAACATTCATTAAATGTATTCGTGAATTGCTTTGCTTGGACCTGGCCCACAATTTCTCAGATCCATCCAAATGATTTTAGGCCATTCCTTCCTGCACCCCATAATTGTCTGAATACCTATATTACCCCTGTTGTGTATTTGTGGTGATAGTTGACGATTGGTGATGGTGTCTGACGGTGGTGGAATGTTTTTAAAAATACATTTCAAAGTACATAATTCAAAATACGTTTGAAAAATAGATTCTAGTTTATATACTTTGAAACATATTATTATATTCAAAAATATATTTTAAATTTGTATAATATAAAATATATTTTTTAAATATATCTCAAATTGAATCATCTAAAATGTATCTTTTAATCTAAAATTATATTTTCAGATATATAATCTAAAATATATCTTTTAAGATATGTCTTCCGATTAACTCGGTGATCGGATGATCAACCCATCAGTTAACTAAAATGGTACTTGAGATTACAATTTTATAAAAAGACTAAATAGTCAAGGTAGAATTGTTTAAAGTAAAAACCATTTTGATTAAATTTCTGATAAAACTTATTAAAATTTAAACCATGATGAAATTAAAAACAATAAAAATTTGACTATAAAAACTATAAATGTATAAGGTAAGTTGATAGATAAAATATTTATTATCTTGATCTTCGTACCGATCCATTCACGAACAGGAAATAACTTGGAAAAAAAATATTTTAAAAAGATGGAACCTATGTATCGAGCATTCTCTTTCCAGCTTGGCTTCTTCTCCACCTTTAAATGTTGGGTGATTCTATCCTTTCTTCTCCACCCTTAGATGCATGTGGGTTCTTCAATTATGCATTGACTATTAAGGGGAGAGTACATTGAAAAACTTTTTCAGGAATCATTAAACTAGTTGGAAGTACACAAAATACGTTTAAGCATCCTAATATCATAATTTTTTATTATCATTATCCCTTCTAAAAAAAATCAATTTTCCTAAAAAAATCAAATTACAACAATTTCATAAACATTACACTTCAACGACATTGTAAAAACCATTATAAAGAAGGCAACATAAACTTTTTGATAAAATATCATTTCAAATTTCGAAAATTTACTATACAAATATAAGAATTTTTTAAATTGTATATAATACATAGTAAAAGTAAGAAAAATATCATCACAAGAATTACCTGCTAAAATTAAAACCTCAAAAAAAAAAATGAGCAGAAATAGGTGTTCTAAGAATAGATAGAGTTCCGCGCAGTTACAAGTTTGCTTTAGTTGGTGGGTTGACATGTTTGACTGCACGTGTTTGTCTTTTGGTAGGTTTAGCTCACTCACACCTACCTTACATAATTTGAAGTTTGTGTTAAACTTAAACTTATTATAAATTATTATAATATCCTACAATCACATGTTTCATTGAGTGACCAAAATTAATATTAAACTTTGATTAAAAAAATATTAATTTAAATAGCTCTTCTGAAGTACATATGTCATCTTTAGTGTACAAAATTAATATTATTTATCGAAAATTAAAATACTAACAATTATTCTTAATTATTGAGGAAACGTGTAAGAGATGAATAATTGTTATCAGATCTTGATATTATTAGTATTAATAAAGACATCAACTTTGACCATCACTCTCATATTCCATTACTTAAGGAAATTTGACACCTCTCTTTTCTGCATCTCTCTGTTTTTCCTGAACTTCTCTCTGTTTTTTCTGAACTTTTCTCTGTTTTTGCTTCAATGGCGAAGGAGGAAAAGGAGATAGTGATGGAGCTTCTCCCTCTCATTCGAGTGTACAAAGATGGCACGGTGGATCGTCTTCTGAGCTCTCCAAACGTCCCAGCCTCCCTCGAAGACCCTGAAACTGGAGTCTCATCAAAAGACATAGTAATAGCAGACAACCCTTTGGTCTCTGCTCGCGTTTTCCTTCCCAAAAACCACAACAATCCCTCCCACAAACTTCCCATCTTTGTCTACTTCCACGGCGGCGCCTTCTGCGTTGAATCGGCTTTCTCCTTTTTCGTCCATCGCTATCTCAACATCTTAGTCTCCCAAGCCAACGTAATCGCCATCTCCGTTGACTTCAGACTCCTGCCGCACCACCCTCTTCCTGCAGCCTACCAAGATGGCTGGACCACTCTCCAGTGGATCGCTTCCCACGCCACCAATACCGCCGCCAACCCCGAGCCATGGTTACTCCACTACGCCGATTTCAACAAACTCTACGTAGGAGGCGAAACCAGCGGTGCTAACATCGCACACAACTTGCTTCTTCGTGCAGGGGAGGAGTCTCTGCATGGGGATCTCAAGATATTCGGTGCAGTGCTGAGCTCTCCCTTTTTCTGGGGCTCAAAGCCAATTGGGTCGGAGCCTGTCGAAGGGCACGAGCAGAGTTTGGCCATGAAAGTTTGGAGCTTGGCGTGCCCTGATGCTCCTGCTGGAATCGATAATCCCTGGATCAACCCTTGTGTCACTGGGGCACCCTCTTTGGCCACACTTGCGTGTTCTAAGATTCTGATCACCATCACCGGAAAAGACGAGTTCAGAGACAGAAATATTTTGTACCACGACACCATAAAGGAAAGTGGATGGCAGGGAGAAGTTGAATTGTTTGATGCTGGCGATGAAGAACATGCTTTCCAACTCTTCAAGCCTGAAACTGATAGAGCTAAAGCCATGATCAAACACTTGGCTTCGTTTCTGCTCTGAATGTTATTTTATTTCCACTTTCTTATCATTGAGTTAAGACAATAATATTTGAGAGATTTTATTGCCTTTGTTTTATCTCAAAAGAGCAGCAAGTTGTGTTCAATTTATTGCTTTATTGTCATACAAAAATGGAATTTATCGAGTAGCAGCAAGAGAAGTTAATGTTTTTATTAAATTTTGTTGGCTTTGAATAATTAAGGTTAGCCCTTTTTTTTTCTCAGTTGTGCCAGAGACTATGTAAATTTATTTTTAATTAATAATAATCAACGTTTCTTTAATTTTTTTAACAATAATTTTAAGAATCCACCTTCAGGAAATTATATTAATTGAAAAAGAAAGATTCCAGTATCAAACTATTCCTTAATAGAAAAAATTTATCAGTCATTTATTTTTTTCACACCAGGTCATGTGTCTGCTACTTTTTTATTCTCTATCCTTAATTAGAAAAAAAAAAAAAGCAAAGAGAGAATTTTTTATATTCATATAGTTTATATACAAAGGAAGTCAAAGTTAAGGAAACATTTTTCTTAATTTCAGCTGGTTTCATTTAATTACAAACCATTCACTTATTAAAAACATATATATCTAACATCTTTTCTAAACTATATGTTTTTCTTTCACAAATCTAATTGTCTTATGTAACATCCAAAAATACAGTAAACACCATATAGTAGAATTAATTACATTTAATGATAAACCAAATCAGTCTTAATTAACAAAAGCACAGGTTCTGAACGGCCTTACCAGAAGCAAAATACAATTAACGACCTTCGACCCAAGCATACCAGACCGAACGGTTTACAAAATAGAAATACCGATCGGTCAATAAAATCAAAAGGGGAGGGGTCGTTCTAATACTGTACTCTAATCTACCTAAACTAACAAATAACCGAACGCACTACTGTTCGGCCTTCACTTCGACCTCGACGAGGTTTTCTTCCTCTAAGAGTTCATCTTCAAGCGCATCCTCAAGCAGCGCCTCTCCATCTGCTCACATTCACACGGATGATCATTGCAAGACAAGACGGACGTACAAGGTCGAGACAACACAAGGAAAAACGAAGGGTAAGCTTATTGAATTTAATTCAAGTAATAACATGCATTTCATAACACATAAAACGTATCAAATACATTCCAACATATAGTTCAATAATTTCTTTAAATCAACCAATTCCTGATACTAGACTGACTGTCCGGAACGTATGAATTCTGTGTAGCTACGACGTTCGTGCACCCAGGTGGAGTAACTGGAATTCTCATCAGCTACTACCTGAGGTTAGTCCGTTCCGTCCAAAGTACAGTTATGGACTAAGACTTCCTGCCGTTCCCACACATGACATACTCCCCTCTACTTGAGGACGAGCACTCACGGAACATCAGGATGAATCGTCAGCTAAACTTTGTCCACATTCATACTTTACAACTTCCAATTTTCATCCAAGAGTCGTTCCTCCCCAGAACGCTCGTTCAAAGTCCACAACCATCATTTCATCTCATATATTATTCATTATTTATAACTTTTCACTTTAATATCATTTTCATCATCCGCTCCGATTACTTAAAAAGACGAGCGTTCAGCCCTCTTTATAACGAAGACGAACGTTAAAACTGAGACTGAAAAATCCTCGTTTCAGAATAGAAAAAGACCGACACAGATCAAATGACAAACGTCATTACCACTCGAATCAGTTGAATGAACTGACTCTAGAACGATTCGATCAATACTCAGAATAAGTTAAGTACCAAGGCTCTAGGCCGAATCCAAATGGATAAAAATACCTCAAGACGATTGAATGACCATACCGGGAATAATTAAATTAAAAAAACAGAATGCCAGTCAATGACCGGACGTAGTATACGGAGTTACTGAAATTTGGACGAACGTTATTTCCACCCGTTTGGTAATTAAATAAAATGACGAGCGTTCGGTATAAGACCGAGCACCACTCATAACGTACGCTTTGGGTCGAGACCCATTACTGATTTGAATTCATAATAGAAAAAGTAATAAGGATAATATAGGATAGTGAAGATAGAATTCAGAATGA